TGGCCCGCGGCGCTGGGGCTGAGCCAGCTTCGGTCTGCCTCCTTCCAGGGTGCAGAGCCTCCAGCTCCACCACGAGCTGCATGCCGCCCACCTCCTCTCCAGCACAGACCTGAACGAGGCCCAAGCCCACCGGCGGGCCTGGCAGCAGAAACTCAACTGCCAGATACAGCAGACCACCCTGCAGCTGCTTGTGAGCATCTTCAGGTACGTGAGAGAACGTTTCCGGCGTCCATGAGGAGGTAACCAGCCAGTCAGCCATTCATTTCATGGGGATCGTGCACCCTGCCCCAGAGGGCAGGCCATTAGCACCATCTGCCTGGCAAACACCAGCGGTCCCCGCCCCGCCAAAGCTTTTCTTGTGACTGTTACAATCAGCAGTTACAGGAAGTTTGTTCTTTGGACTCTGACCCTGCCTGTGCCTTCCTAACGCCCTCTCCTGCTGGTGACTGTGCCTTCCTAACACCCTCTCTTGGTGACCCCCTGCAGGTGGCTGTTTTGGGACAGCCCTCTAGGAAGACGCAAATCTGATTAACCTGCAGGGAGCACCTGTCACTCTGGCCTGTGCTGGCTCCGGTCTCTGGCTCAGTCCACGGAGGGCTCTGTCCCACCAGGCCTGCATCCAGGGGCTCGTGAGGGACAGACGGGCCATTTTGATGTGACTCGTAAGCTAGATGATGAAACCATCTATGGGAGAGCCACAGGACGGATGGGACACTCAAGATGTGCCCGTTAGCGAGTTTTCTTTCTCCTCATTCCAGGAATTACTGCATTAGCTGCCTCCCGCATGCTATTGCTTCCCCAGCGCTTGAGCTAGAATTGGTTAAGTGGACAAGTCAAGTGTGTTTATTTCAGTGTGATACGGTGCAGGTATTGAGTTGCTGTTTCTGGCCTAAATATGCGGTCACTTAAGGAATGTATGGCAAAAATGATAGCTTCATAGATAAGTACTTGGTAATACAAAAGCCTTTGGGCCTTCTCCCACCCACCCTTTCTTTCTCTGGCAGTGTTCCTCCTCTCCTTCTCGCTGGTTGCTCCCTGAGTCCAGGAGGCACCCCCGATGCTAGCCTCATCTGTTCTTGAGGGGCCTTCTGCTTTGGAAGGGGGTTAGCACAGAGGCTGCTGGCTTGATCGTACTCTGTGTGATTATTTCAAAATGGAAATTTAAATGGCTTTTTTTTTTTTTTTTTTAATTGAGACAGAGTCTTACTCGGTCACCCAGGCTGGAGTGCGGTGACGCCATCTCGGCTCACTGCAACTGCCGCCTCCCAGGTTCAAGTGATTCTCCTGCCTCGGCCTCAGAAGTATCTGGGACTACAGGCACACACCACCACGCCTAGCTAATTTTTTGTATTTTCAGTAGAGACGGGGCCAAAACGTGGCCATTTTGCCATGTTTGCCAGGCCAGTCACCAAATCCTGACCTCAGGTGATCCTCCTGCCTTGGCCACCCAACGTGCTGGGATTACAGGTGTGAGCTACCGCGCTTGGCCTGAATGGCCTATTCTTTTGATGTATTTGTTTGCATAAAGTGAATAATTTATTAGGAAAAAATGGGATGGTGTATTACAGACATGTGATATTTTCTTTGCCCAAAGAGGCATAATTAGTGTGGTCCTAAATATGTTGTTTTCCTTTTGTTCTTTGAAGATGAAATATTTTATGAACAAGTTTTTTTTTTTTTTTTTTTTTTAATTTCTTATTTTACAAGCTCAGTGAGTTGACAGAAAAGCAGAATAGTCCCAGCCACTCGAGAGGCTGAGGCGGGAGGATCCCTTGAGCCTAGGAGTTTGAGAACAGCCTGGACGACATAGCAAGATCCTGGCTCTTTAAAAAAAGAAGCAGAAGATATGATTACAGATGATAAAACTTTATTTCCCCTAGATGAAATAACTTATTCTCTCAAGGAAAACACTAAACAGATTATGTACTAACTATGCCCTGTAAGGTTGTTCGTTCTATTTGTATATTACTTTAGATCTGGGAGATCACGTGCTAAAATCTCGATGGGTTTATAACATGATCTGAGGAAACTGGGTACCAAGAGGTGAAGTGGGCCAGGTGTGGTGGCTCACGCCTGTAATCCCAGCACTTTGGGAGGCCAAGGTGGGTGTATCACCTGAGGTCAAGAGTTTGAGACCAGTCTGGCCAACGTGGTGAAACCCCATGTCTACAAAAAATATGAAAATTAGCCAGGTGTGGTGGTGTGTCCCTGTAATCCCAGCTACTTAGGAGGCTGAGGCAGGAGAATCACTTGAACCTGGGAGGCAGAGGTTGCAGTGAGCCAAGATTGTGCCACTGCACTCCAGCCTGGGCCATAGAGCGAGACCCCATCTAAACAAACAAGCAAACACAGAGGTGAAGTGACTTGTCTGGGGAGGCTGGCGGCCAAGCTGGTTAGCACTTGGAGAGTCTAGCTGCCCCTCTGGGCTCCCCACCCTGAACTCAGTTTCATGTGTGTGAACTACAACTGATTTTTGTGTCTTAATTTGCATAAGGAACTGGTGGGCTGGAGGAAGGTGAGGACAGGAACACTGCCTCCTGCAGTTTCATTCTAGTTGGGGGAAATTTATGCTTGACCACGAAATACATCCATGTCGTATCATTTTGGTAATCAAGAATCTTTCTGAAGAATACAGCTTTTTCAAAGTTTGTATCTCTTGTAACCATTTTTCTGCTACTAAAAGTGGTCTATATTTTCATGTATTTAATAATGCTTTAGCACTCAGACTATCTTTCTCTTTGTCAGGGATGTAAAGAATCATTTAAATTATGAACACAGAGTCTTTAATAGTGAAGAATTTCTCAAAACCAGGGCTGCAGGGGACCATCAGTTTTATAAGCAGGTGAGAGCTGTGGGATGTGGGTGTGCCTATGTGTGTTCAATCCATTATCCTTTTCTCTGTTTAAATACTTTTCAAAATAAATTTTCTCAAGTGTATCAATTTTTCCAAAAAGTTTGTTTTAGCACGGTTCCTTTTGGTCATGTGACTCTCCCTCTTTTTTTAAAAAAATCAGCTTTTTAAGAGTATAATTTACTTATGGCCAGGCACAGTGGCTCACGCCTGTAATCCCAGCACTTTGGGAGGCGAGGCAGGCAGATCACTTGAGGTCAGGAGTTTGAGACCAGACTGACCAACATGGTGAAACCCTGTCTCTACTAAAAATACAAAAATCAGCCAGGCGTGGTGGCAGGTGCCTGTAATCCCAGCTACTCAGGAGGCTGAGGCAGGAGAATTGCTTGAACCCGGGGAGTGGAGGTTGCAGTGATCCAAGATGGTGCCACTACACTCCAGCCTGGGTGACAGAGCAAGATTCCGTCTCAAAAAAAAAAAAAGTATAATTTACTTAAAATATGGCCATTTCAAGTGTGTGGTTTGATGGATTTTGACAAATGTACATATCTCTATCACCACTTCCTCAACCTGGACATAGAACATTCCCATGACCCCAGTCAGCCCCATCCCTCCCCAGGTCCCGGCAACTCTACCTGCATGCGTCCCCGTAGACGGTCGGCCCATCTCAGAGTCTCAGGCTGTGCAGTCGTACGGTCTGCGCTCTGTCTGCCTCTCTCCCTCAGCCTCCTACCTCAGACCGAGCTGGGCTACTGTGTGTCTCAGCAGCAGCTCCTTTTTTTGCTAGGAATGTCCTGTGGTTGGGACAGAGTGCGCTTCGTTCTTCTGTCCACCTGCTACTGAGCATTTGGGTTTTTCCATTTGTGACTATTACAAAAAAATAATCACGTCGGGGGCTTTGCCCTGGCAGGCGATAGAAGCTGCCTGAAGAGTCCCTTGATCCTTTTGGGTTTTTTTTTTTTTTTTTACAGCTTTGGGGTAGGCCGAGAACAGCCCTTCTCTAGGGTTGGTTTATAACCTAGCCCATCTGCTAAGTGATGTGCCCCCGCCCCCCCACCGTGTCTCCTGAATGGCTGGGGGTCAGCCAGGACCCTCCGTCCTGGCTGTTGGGAGCGTGACTGGCTCTCTGCCCTTGTGAGCTTGGAGAGTTTTGCTGACAGCTTCCCAGTCGTTCTTTGGTTTGATGCGGTTTAGCCCTATGCCTGGGCAGCGGGGTATTCAGCAAAGGCTTAGGGAGACCCTGATGCAGGCTTCCTAATACAGGCTCCTAACACAGACCTGATACAGGCTCCCTGTATCATTCCCTCCTCTCCAGAGCCCTGCCCGAGGCTTCCAGCTGCCCCAGCCTCTGTGAGCTCCCTCCATGCCCTCAGTGCTGCAGCTGCACCAGCCACGAGCCTGCCTCTTGTCCAGTGTCTGAAAACAGTCGTTTCTCTTTTTTATCGAGTTTCCTCACAGTTTATGTCAAGAGGATATGTCTGAGCCTTGCCTAGTGCCTTATGGCCAGAAGCATGTGTCCACCTCTTTTAGCTATGATGAAATACGCTTTTGTTCACAGGGTGGGTATGTGGGCCTCGCTGTGTGAATGTATGGCCGCCATTTCTTCTCCTGTGTGAATGAGGAAGAACAGAAAACCCTCGAGTTGGTTCACTCAGTCAGTATCCACTGGGCATGAGTGGTAGTGCTCAGTTCTGTGCCAGGAGGCTCGGGGGCTTTGGAGCAGGGACCTGAGGAGTCGGCACAGCCCAGTGACCAGCCCTTCTGTCTTTTCCAGGTCTTAGACACCTACATGTTCCATTCTTTCCTTAAAGCCCGGCTCAATAGGAGGATGGACGCCTTTGCTCAGATGGACCTTGACACCCAGTCGGAGGAGGACAGGTGCTTCACTGTCGTGTTTTGGATCCACAGCTCTTTAGGGATCACAGTGTCCAAGGACCTCAGTTTTATTCAAATAAGTAAACGAGAAAGTCAACGGGAAATGCCTTGTGCTTAGAAACTCATGATGAACTGGACAACAGCTGGGAAGCTCTTCTCTCTATGCTTCTACCTCTTTTTTTTTTTTTGAGACAGAGTCTCGCTCTTGTTGCCCAGGCTGGGGTGCAGTGGCGCAATCTTAGCTCACTGCGACCTCTGCTTCCTGGTTTCAAGTGATTCTCCTGCCTCAGCTTCCTGAGTAGCTGGGATTACAGACACCCGCCATCATGCCCGGCTAATTTTTGTATTTTTGTAGAGATGGGGTTTCACCATGTTGGCCAGGCTGGTCTCGAACTCCTGACCTCAGGTGATCCACCCACCTCAGCCTCCCAAAGTGCTGGGATTACAGGCATAAGCCACCACTCCTGGCCTGTTTCTACTTCTTGAGGGAACGCTTGAAACGTGCCTGATGTTAGCGTGCTCCCTGTGGTTTGCGGCCCTGTGTCTTCTTTGGTGTCTCACTCTCCCATCTCCTTTCTCTCTTCCCACCTACCCCCATCCTCGAAGCCTGTTGTTTTCCATCTCTTCCTTGCTCTTTGCCTGAGCCCCCTCCAACATGCGTCCACGGCAGTCAGGGCTCCTGTTGGCTTATGCTGGTTTCTTCTGGGCTTGCGTCTGGGTCTCCCTGAGGCTGCACATGGTGAGATTTGGGCAACACGTTCTTACCAGTCTGTTTTCCACTGGTCTGTAAGAGTATCACATGCTCTTCGTTACACTGGGGAAAATGCTTAGTTTAGGCTTATTCTGCAATCATTATTGTGTCTATAAAGTAAAGCGTTGCTTTTTCCTACCCCAGAATAAATGGAACGCTTGTAAGTCCAAGGAGACCGACTGTTGAGAAAATAGCGTCTCGGAAGCCCTCGCACCTGCAGGTCACCCACAGGCGCATGGTGGTCAGCATGCCCAACCTGCAGGACATCGCCATGCCTGAGCTGGCACCCAGGAACTCCTCGCTCCGGCTGACGGACACCGCAGGCTGTGCGGGCAGCAGCGCAGGTAAGGGCTGCCCCCCATCGTGGTGCTGTGTGTCGGTCCCCGCATTCCTGCACTGCAAGTCGTTGAGCAAAACTGGAACTTGTTTCAGGGGAGAGGAGGGGGCTTGTTTTAGCAGCCGAGTTATTTGAAATGTTTAGAATATTCATTTTGCCAACTGTGTGCCTTCTAGAAAATTGTTTCTTGTCTGTATTTTCTGCCACCCAGCGTCACTGCTAAAGGTAACAGAGGCTCTGCATGGTTCGGCATCCTTCACAAGCACAGGCTGTGTGTGTCTCTGTGTGTGTGGATTGCATGTGTATAAATACATATTTACACATACACACGTGTGATAGGCGGGGGCGCCAGGCACCGCAGGCTATGTGTGTCTCTGTGTGTGGACTGCATGTGTATAAATACATATTTACACATACACATGTGTGATAGGAGGCGGGGGCACCAGGCACTTTCTAGAGCCAGAGCTGTGAAGGAGCCCAGGGCCCCTGCCCTCGTGGAACTGGCATTCCAGGGCCAGGGCTAAAGTGAGCAGGGCCAGGGATGGGGAGGGGCTGTGACTGTGGTTGGGACATTTCTACAGAGACGGGATGCATGGAGAGGCTGAGCCCTGCCTGGCGCCTTCTCAGGGAGGTACATCCTGTCCCTAGTGGATGGGAGAAACTGTTGGGAGGCCGGGGCCTTGACCCCCGGGGCACCTGCAGCTGCTGTCTCAGGCCCAAGCACCACGCAGCTCCTCCTGATCACTGTGCTCAGACCCCAGGAGCTGCATGAGCGACAGCTTGATGACCCCGAGGGCTATGGTCATCCTGCCTAGCAAGTACATCTTGGCTTCGACTATTAGCTTCATCCTCAAATAAAGCCTCAGTACCCGATACCTCAATAGTATTAGTGGTTGTAGCAAGTCAAATTGCTCAGTGAATGCTAGCTGCTGTTTTCCTGGGGGTACCATGGGAGCAAAGTGAGGGTTCTCTCATGCCTCCCAGGGCGGTGGGTGCGTGGAGCTTTCTGGAGGGACACACCCATTCTCATTTTATTTTGCATCCAGAGAAACATCGTCCTTGACAAGATGATGTCACAGGGACACATGTTCATTTGTAAGGGCTGTGCTAATGGTCTCCTTTTTCCCCTTAATGTTTTAGTTCTCAATGTGACGCCGAAGTCCCCATATACATTCAAGATTCCCGAAATCCACTTTCCGCTGGTGAGCGAGTGCGTGCAGGCGTACTATGCCGACTTTGTCACCCTGCTGAGCAAGGCCATGGACTTTCTGGCCCCTGATAACTCTCTGCTCCTGGCCCGCTATTTCTACCTCCGAGGGCTCGTTCATCTGATGCAAGGACAGCTGCTGAGCGCCCTCTTGGACTTCCAGAATCTCTATAAAACAGACATACGGATCTTTCCCGCTGATTTGGTGAAGAGGACGGTGGAATCCATGTCTGCCCCCGAGCGGGCGCAGGCGGAGCGGGCGCCGGAGCTGATGCGGCTCATCAGCGAGATCCTGGACAAGCCGCACGAGGCCTCAAAGCTGGACGACCACGTGAAGAACTTTAAGCTGCCCAAGGAGTACATGCAGCTGGACGACTTCATGAAGCGGGTCCAGGAGTCAGGGATCGTGAAGGACGCCAGCACCATCCAGCGGCTGTTCGAGGCCTTGACTGTAGGTAAGAGGACGCCTGGCACCATCACCGATTTTATTATTTAGAGACAGGGTCTGGCTCTGTCGCCTAGGCTGGAGTGGACTGGTGCAATCACAACTCACTGCAACCTCTACCTCCTGGGCTCAAGCAGTCCTCCCACCTCAGCCTTCCGAGTAACTGGGACTACAGGTACGTGACACCGAGCCCAGCTAATTTTAGTATTTTTTATAGGGACAGGGTTTCAGTATGTTGCCCAGGCTGGTCTCGAACTCCTGGGCTCAAGAGATCCACCCACCTCGGCCTCCCTAAGTGCTGAGATTACAAGCATGAGCCACTGAGCCAGGCCCATATATTTTATTTTACTTTATATATTTTTGAGACAGAGTCTTGTTCTGTCTCTCAGGCTGGAGTGCAATGGCACGATCTTGGCTCACTGCAGCCTCCACCTCCCGGGTTCAAGTGATTCTCCTGTCTTAGCCTCCCGAGTAGCTGGGATTATAGGCATGTGCCTCCACACCCAGCTAATTTTTGTATTTTTGTAGAGACAGGGTTTCACCATGTTGGCAAGGCTGGTCTCGAACTCCTGACCTCAAGATGATCCACCTGCCTTGGCCCCCCAAAGTGCTGGGATTACAGGCATGAGCCACCATGGCTGGTCCCATATATTTTAAATATTTAACGACAATGGTCAGGTAACAGCAGTGGTGAGGTAAGCCGCCAGCAGGTGACAGGCAAGACCGCTGCAGCACCGTGGTCTTTACTGTTGCTCTGGGCACTTACCTGGGAACGGGTGTGGTTGGCGGGGCCCTTAGGCAATGTGCCTGTCACTGAGATCTTAAACACGTCTCCAGGCTGGGCTCTGAGTTGCGCTCTGTGTGGGTGGAAGGGACGTAGAATTGCTGATGGGAGATGAAGACGCTCCTTGCCTGGGAGAATTGCTCAGCATCTATACAGAACCATGGCCTCGGCTGAAATGCTGCAGACACATGCAAAAGCAGGGACACGGGACAAATGCCAGGGTCCTGTGACAAATGTCACGGTCCTGCGCCCAGACTGACACCTGCTGCGTTTGCCATGGAGTGCAGTGGGCTTGTGCTTAGACCCAGTGCAGGCCCCGTGCGCCTCTGTCCCTCCCTCCCCAGAGGGAGCCATTGTCCCAAGCTGGAGCTCTTTTATCTGGCCATGTTTTTATGCATTTACTACAAACGGATGAAGCTGACACAGGACCTAGGTTTTGTGAGTTTAAACACAAAAGCGGGAGAATGGGAATTGTCCCACCGTATGTCTGAGTTTGCATGTGCTGTTCACTCATGGTGTTTTTGAGACGTATCTGTGTCGCTCCACATCCGCTGGGTTCATTCACTTCAACCACTGCCTGTGCTGTAGTGTGTGGGCACCTTTTGTCCACCTGTTTCACCATCAGTGGTGTCGCACCTGTTTCCTGGAGTATGTGTGGGTCAGTCCCTCTCAGATGTGTACCCAGGGCCTGCTTTGAGATGTGAGAACCATCGTTTGGGCTTGGCGAGGGCTGCGCTTCCATCCTGCCAGGCAGCACACATTCCTCGGTCTCGACTCTCACCCGTTGTGAGTGTGCAAGGATGCCACACTGACGTCGCAAACAGCACACGTGCTCGGGAGCAGCCCTGGTTTCTTTTCTGTGAGCTGTGTTGCCATGATCTTTGCCCATTTTTATCTTGGGCTGCTTTTCCTTTCCTTACGGATGTGTAGGGATCTTCAGGCCCTCGGGAGAAGCTGTCCTGGTGACAGAGGCCTGGCAGGTCGCTCTTCCGGCTGTGAACAGGTGCTGCGGAATGCAGTTTCCTTGCTTATCTTGCCTGTGGCCTCTGAGGGATGTCATGGCCGAGTGTGTATGTGTGTATATGAATGTGTGTGGGTGTGAAAATGTGTGTATGTGTGTATATGAATGTGTGTGG